AAAAAAAATATTAGCTAGAACATGCTATTCCGAAAAAGATTACACACTATAATCCTATGAAATAATTTTTATAGAATTTATAGGATTTTTATTTTCCTGAATTTTTAGTTAGAAAAATTTAAGCAAATCGTTGTAACAGAATTAAATCTGGATATCAACTCAGATTCTTTCTGAAACTGAACACTCTTCATACATATAGTTGTGGCATGCTAAACTATATTCAAAATAGTATTATTAAAAAGACTATTATATAATTTAGCCTAGAGTGTTTTTTTTAGGCTCTCTTGCATGGAACATCATAGAGTGCTCGATCAAGAGCTACTTCGTATTCGTATACTTCGTTTTGTATTCAAGAACCATTTTTGCAATATTGACAAAATTTAATAGCTATTTTAATACGCTAGCTAGTATCGGTTTTAGCTGCACACTACTTAGTGATCATAATTACAAGGTAAGAAAACTCTTCAATACCATCAATTGTAGCTGTTTGGTTTTCAGCGGCTAATGTTAGACGGATTTCTTTGATATGGCAGCAAGCATAAATTTTGGGTTATTTACGTTTATTCTTTATTTTAACTTGTGTATAAGTACACAATATTTAAAAAATATGTAAAAAAATATAATGAAACTAAGGCAATTGTTATTTTTAAACACACATACTTAAAATATATTTTCCTCAAATTATTGTTAATTTCAAAAACAGAATACAGTTAACTAATTTACATACACTTCTTAGTTTTACAATATAATATATATTAACCTACTAAACTATATCTGAGACGGATATTTCATTAAAAATATATACCTACGCAAAAAAATTTTAAATTTAACGGTATTACACCTTATTAAAAAGAGCTTAGATTCTAAATATGCAGTCAATTTATAAATAAACACTTCTAGTTAGCAATGTTATTTGGAAGCACTTGCAAGTCAGATTAAAACATCATTACTCCAAACAAAAAATATAGCATGGTTAAGTTTGGAGACATTCGAAATTGTTTCGTCCATATGCAGTTTTCTTGATTCCGGCCAGAAAAACGTTTCAGTTACTTGAAAGTATTTTAGATTAGTTACAATCTACAATTCCATATAATTTGTTATTATGTAGATTGTTATATGGCCGTACAAAATATTTTCTAAAATACTTCCCGTTGGACTGCCCTTAAAAACGATGTTTTCAAGGGCAGCATGGTTTCTTCTTCTTACGCTTAAGAGCCTCCTTGCAAATCTTGGTGTTCTTTCGTTTGCAAGATTTTGACATTTTGCAAGCCTAGCAAAAAATTTATTTATAATAACAACTTTAGAAAAAAAAAAATGTATCACTTTGTTTTTCTCGTGTAATACCATACCTGCTTTTCAAAGCGCAAACGTTTTTCAGGTGGTAGTTTGCACCAACACTTGGCCGCCTTTTTAATAATTTCTTTTGGTTCCAAACCACAATTATTACGACGGAAGTATCTCAGATAATTCAAATACGCATTATTTGTAAGCGGCCCAGGCTGGGTGCACTTTGGCTTCTTTGCGCCGCAACTCTTCTTTTTTTTCTTGGGGCAGCGAGGCTTCTTCTTTTTGCAGGGATTTTTCTTTTTTTTAGGACACTTCGGCTTTTTCTTAGGGCATGCTGGCTTCTTTTTCTTGCAGGAATTTTTCTTTTTTTTCTTCGGACACTTGGGCTTTTTCTTAGGGCATGCTGGCTTCTTTTTTTTGCAAGGATTTTTTTTCTTTTTGGGGCAACCACCACATGCGTCCCCCTATGCATAAAAAACTATTCATTTTTGTATCCATATATAAAATATATACATATTCACGTACCATTTCGCGATATACATGTTTGCTAGCATCACTTAAAGTATTCCAATGGTGCGCGCCAGACAAGACAACATGAGTGGCGCTTTTATCAACTAATTTCATACTAAAATCCCTCAAAAAGTTTAAGTACCCTTTACTGGCGTTAATCTTTGGCTTGATTTCTTCAGTTACCATTTTGACTAAATTCTTTAACTGTCTGAAAGGTAACTAACACCAAAAAGGTCCTCCCAACTGTTCTTAAACTTTTATTTGAACACAAAATGACAAAATATATAACACTGAAATTAAGGGTTTTTATTAAAAGACTCACCCGTTTTCTTTGAAAGTACAAGGTACGATTTTGTATTCAACCCCACTAGTTTTTTGTTGTGAAAAAACAAATACTGAACAATCATAGAAGAAAAATAAGAATTATAGATATTTATGTTATAGATTTTTAATATTTTATAAAAGCCATTTGGTATTTTTACTGAAATTTCAACAACTACTCTATACTCCTATTGCGACCACAGAATAGTGATTTAAATAATAGAAAATTGCAAATAGGAGATAGCAGATTGAAAAGTAACAGTGATTATCATTATGGCATTGCGAAGAATAAAGGTATTGTAGACAATCAAGCAACTGAAGTAGCAGTTTTCTATCGTTATCTCTAGTTGTTAAAATACTGAATACTGAACAGTTAATATCCTACCAGCTAGAAAAAGTGGATAACGCAAATGCCCTTTTCTTGCCCTCACTATAAATATATAATAGTCATATATTGTCTGCAGTAAGTATTCAATTGAAATTCAGAAATGCATACTTCAATATAGAAAAATATAAAGAAACCGTTATTAGATTAAATAAGTCTTAAAGCATTAGCCATTAAGTAATTCTCTTAATGTGTGATCAAAACTAATGACTACAAAATTGTATTTAACTATATTTCGCAAGAAACAAAGGAACCAAAGTAACTACTAAAACTACCTTTACAATATCTGAATATCCTATCTATGTCTAATAAGAATAAGTATAAGCCCACACTTACGGTTTATCCGTCCAGAAACCGCAACCAAAAGTCCTGAAGCGCCCTTATGTTCCCAAAACATATAAAATAGTAAATAATATATATGTTAGTTTGTTATATAAACAATCAACTTAAAAAATTTTATATTGAGGATTTGAACATATTTCATTTTCAATTATTTAAATTCAGTTTAATCATAGATTATAATGAATTAAATCAGTATACGAAAATAAGAGAAAAAGCAAATTGTGTGCAATAGATAAATTGATCTTACCTATTCCAAAAAAGTCCCGCCGCCAACAGAAATAAAAACCTCAAAAGTCGATATTCTGCTCTTCACTACAAATTTTACAATGAATTAATTCAGAAATAAGAGGAACATAATTTACAGGATAGATTTTATGCAATATATAAATTGATCTTACTTACTCCAAAAAAAGCCCCACCGCCAGCAATCATTGAATCCGAAAATATCCTTATCTTATTTTTCGATACTATTTTTATAATGAATTTTATCAGTAATAATTAACAAATAATAATAATTTTTATGTAAAACAAGCTGATCTTACTTACTCCAAGAAGAATATTGTATAGTCTTGATTCGTCAAATAGAATCTTAATTTCTTATCCGCGATAGCAATAACAGATAAATCGAATATATCCGTTTACTGCCCCTCACTGAAAGGATTCAATTACCTGGAATAGGACGATGTCGAGAGAAAAAATCGATGAATGGAATTTTTAAAACTCTAATATATAACTCAACAAAAATCAATAATATTTTGTGGATTGATTTATTATAATATATTATGACAAATTAAAGTCACATAACAATTTTACTCTTTCTTGAGATGAAATGACTTTAGAAAAAACAAATATAGAAATGATTTTTATAAGAAGTTGTCTCATCAAGATAAATTAAATCAAATGTGAGATTTTTGTCCGTGATGGTCTGATTACTATAATTTGTGATATTCTGTGATTTTTACTAATATTGTGTGCTGATTTACTCAATCGTATTTAAAGAGCAAATTTAAAAAAATAGTCAAAAATTATTTCAGAGATGATTATGTTAAATAGAGGACTATTGAAATAATCCACCAAGTATTTGTTTTTAAGTGAAAATAGTGTTAAAATAAATTTGCACTGTAATTTTCGATAAATAATATAAGGTATAGAGTCTATAGAATAAATTAAACTTACACAACCCAAGATAAAAATTGGTTCTCCAAAATCACCTCACTAAAGCTCTAATGCGACCTGGAAAAACATAATTCATTAGAGTAGAAGCACAAGATTAAGTAGAAAAAAGTGTTAAACCGTGGAATAAGCCATTGAATTTTACATAATAAAATTTTCTTGAATACAATGTGTATCTAAACTTACACTTCTCAATATATAACAAAATAAGCTCACATAAAATTTAACTCAACTTAAAAATTTTTTGACGTGAAAAATTGAAACTAACTTAAGAGAAAAATAAACGAAAATGTTTTTTATAAAAAGTTATTTCATCAGCATAAATAACATATCAAAATTACATTTTTTCAGTGATGATTTGATTTCTAAAATATTTTTAAAATCTATTAAAAATTTTTTTTCCTATATGTCAGTTTCTTCACTCAAATTTTATATTAATCCGTAATAAGAAAAAAATAAATAGATAAAAAAAATAATTTTGACGCTAAAGCTGAATTATTGTTACCCTATTAAAAATCAAAATCATTTTATAAAGGTTATTTCGTAATATTTCACCTCTCTAAAAGGATCAATACCCTGCAAAAACATAATTTAAAGGAATTTAAGAATATAAAATAAGAGGTATGAGCATATGTAAATAAATGGAATAATTCAATAAATTTTAATGAAAAAATAATCGCCTTACTTGTACATATCAAAATATCATCGACGATGTATCTAATTTAATTGATTCACTTTAATTTATAATCAAATTAATTCACACAAAATTTTTCGCAAATTTTTCTTTAAGTGAAAAACTGAAACATACTGAACAGATAAATAAATAAATATAATTTTTTTAAAATTTAATTTATTAAGAAAAATAAGTTATCAAATTTTAGAAATTTTCAATGATATGTCGATCTCGTAAAATATAATTATACGTTAAAATAAAAAAATTGCTTGACACAAATTTTTCTTATTTAAAACTTATATTTTAAAGTTTCTAAGCGATGGTTTAAATAATCACCTAAATAAAACTTTGATGCCCACTATACTAGTGGTGCAATAGCTGTCAACAGCAGCAACCGAAGTAGACACCACTATCATCCGACCCTAGTGAATCCGAAGCCTTAGCTTCTACCTTGCAATAGTAACAATTGAAGTAGACACCACTATCGTCCGACTCTAGTGAATCCGATGCCTAAGCTCCTACCTTTTTTCTGAGTGGGTGCACTCCCACCGCGTTGCTGAAGCGGACTACAATTGTTAATATGAACCTGCTCGAAAAGTGGTATCTATCTGAAAGCGGTGGTCTTGTAAATACCTCAAAGGGCATTATTGAAAGAACAATCCATAAACTAACCGTATTGTTCAATTGAATATGGTTTGAAGGGGGCCAAAGTGTTGGGTAACTAATTAAATACACAATTTATTATTTAACTTTTTGTAATAAATGGGAAACCTTAAATTATATAATTTATTTAAATTGTGTTTTTATCGACTGCCATCAGTAAAAACCATATTCTTTTTATATTCGCATTAGTTTTTTTTTTACTATTTTTTATTATATGTATACTTTTTTTGCTTAATTCTCTTGTGGCTTAGCTGTAGAGTTGACTTAAATGCCAATCTCAGACTTATTAAAAGGAAATAAGTCTGAAAAGCAATTTAAAATAAATTTAAAATAAATTTAAAATAACAGCGCTGAAGAAATTAATTATAGTTCTTCTTTATCAAATAAGATATACACTATTTTAAAGTTTGTTAGAGTTTTTTAACAGCTTTTCCATGGTAGTTAAAATTAATTAAAACTTCATCCACAAATAGTTTTAAGTTTAAAGCATTTATTATTGTAAACAATTTTGTTTTGTTCAGAATTTTCAATAAATTCTATACTTTCCTCTAAACTGTCACATTCACTGTCATTTGACTCAAGTGCAATTTTTTTATTTTTGGATTCACAACTTAAAACTTTATCCAACTGGTCTAATTTTCTATATATTGCAGTAGTTTCTGCAATTTTCCTTTCTTTCTGCAAATTACTTAATGTGTTCTTATGAATTTCCATATTATTTGTTAAGTAAATTTTAATTAATAATACAGGCGCGGTTTACACACTCCGGGAACTTACTCAGGGAATATTACCACAAAAAAAATGATGATAATTTAACTATCTTAATTTTGTTTCCATATCTCCAGTCACTAATTGAACTCAACGAACTAGAGCTCTGTTTCCATCATGAATCCTTAACCTTTTCTGTGGCTACAAGCTTGTGCCTTTAGTATTTTCCTTGCATATTATTGATTGCTGAAACTTATATTTGAAAATCAATTCCAAGCAAGTACAGCAAACACACACATCAACCTCCTGAGTATGTCAACAACTTTATTACAGGTATCTCAAAACCCACGCTCATGCTAGCGAATCTGCCGCTGTTTCACGCATAAGGACAGTACTTCCTCGCAGCACCGCCGAGACCCCCAAGCACCATTGGTAATACCCGGTCTCAATGGTGTTTAACTACTGGATACACCATTAATCTAGAGGCTTAACATAAGATATAACCCTATCAAATATATAGATGATGGTAGAACATAATATATTTTCGTGACCTATCCTTCACATAATACTTACATATATATTTATATTAGCTGATCCCTACAACGTAATACCACAACATCATCTGTTCATGTTTTTGTCTAGTATGAGAGAGCACATAATAATACCCTAACAATATCAACAGATATTTAAAAAAAAAAACTATTAACTTAAGCATATTATATTTGTCTATATGTTTTTAAATATAATCTTCTCTTGTGTCTGCACCTGAAATGATCAGCTAACACAGTAGTAGAAACTGTTACCGTCTGTGATCTGAAATCTGTACCATCTGTAATCTGTTACCGTCATTTATACCCAACAAGGTTGTTCTTATTTCCAGAACAAATATTTTAAGTCTGTGTTGAACTGAATACTTTACTGATTGCATTTTGAATCATATCCTTTTTAAAGTAAAATCACATCGCCATTAATTGATCACTTATCATGCAAATTGTTACTGAGGTCTTTCTGGGCTGATATTTTTAATAAAAGATGGGAAGACTCAACGATATGCAGGCATCTGTATGAAATCTATCGATTTTCCAATAAATCCAATATTCACATTGAGATGCCCCGTATAAGTCTTATGCTAGATGATTGAATCTCCCTTTCAATCATACTTGTCGCAGCTGTGGGAAAGACGATGAAAGTGCCTCTCACTTACTCGGTCTTTGCCCAGTTCATGCAGGGTAGCCACTTAACACTTTAGGAACCCCCTTTTTTGACGATATGGGTCAATTATAAATAGCATAATAGCATTCTAAGCGTTATCAAAGGTTCTAAATGGTTTTAAACTCTGAGCTTCCCCTACATGCCGTAAAATAATTGGACAGTATATCTAAATGGATCCCATAGAAACATCGGTTAAACCTAACCTAATTCATCACTTAATGCCAAGTAATAGTGATAGTTATGGTCACATCATATGTCTAGAATTTGTTTCTAATATAAAATTTAAAAATTGATTTAATTTATTAATTAAAATAAGATCACGACGACGAAGCTTTTTGCGCCTCACCACGTTGCTCAAAATAAAATTGCTTAGTAATAAATGACAGAATTTATGCTTATTAAGAGTAAATATGTGTATTTTTGTGTAAATTTGTGTTATACATACATAAAAATAGATAGCATTGAAATTTGGGTACAAAAAAACGTACCCAAATTATAATAAAGCTAGAAAATTAACAATTGTCATATAACGCTCTCTGTTACATGCCTTTTGGTCATGACCCAAAAGAGCTTAGAATTACCGTAATTACTCGTCATATAACTATCCATATAACATTGCCCCACAATATATTTAAATATCTTAATATATATAAATTAATACCACTGAAAGATCCTGTTTTAAAATTATGGTTTATATTAGTTATTAAAACCCAATTAAACAGATTGAGATTAATATATATAAAAAGAGTTTAAGATATAGTCAATAAGGTAATACAGATTTTTTCCTCATAATTCTGGTAATGTTTATCTTAACAAAAAATTGATTTGAATAAAAATTTAACAATATAAGTAATTGTTCACACTGAAAATTCTTAAGTGTCAATTAATTTATAATTTATAAATTTGATATATATATATTTTTATGTACTTACATAAATTTCAATTTGTATTAACATATAATTTGGTACTTAAAATTTTAATACTAAACATGCAATTATTAATTTTAAGTAAATCAATAATGAATAACTTATGAAATAATTATTAGCTTATACTTGTTATTTAAAAACATTTTAATAATAAATTACAATAGCCAATTTTTGAATAATTATGTTTAATTTTATGGAATTTTTAACCTATTATTATTTAAAACTATATAAAGTTCAATCAATTGTAAATTATTCTGTTTATGTTATGTATAAACTTTATTTGCATTTTTTAATATTTAATAATTAATTTTATTAAATGATTTTATCATCCAAACATTTTTACATTGTTTCATTTATTATGCACATAAATTCATATGTATAAAATATAGTGAAAACAATAAATAATTTTATTAATATCTGTAAAATGCATTTTCCACTTCTGCCAACTAAACAACACTCCCAAGCACCTAAGTGCTGTACTATGAAAATTGCAAATAATTAACTTTCAGACAAGCTCGCATACTGATTTTTCACTCGTAGGGGTGGTATATCCTTTAAAAGAACACTCATACCCACATAAAGGCATAAGTATGCAAGAACTGAATAGAGCACATGTGAAGCACATCTGTAGTACCATTGTGGATGCAGCCATACAAACCGATCTATTTGATTGGAAGTGCATGAGGAAAAAATGTGCAGATAACCGCACATGAAGTGCTCGCTGCCCTGCTAGGTGCTCGTATGTGTACAACTGACTTCGATGGAAATCAATATTTCATAATTCAATGAAATAAAGCTAAAATCGTTTGAACATTGTTCTTTCACTTCTTCAACTTTTCACTCCCACCTATCTGCTGCCAAAGTAAACTGATACCGGATTAGCATGAATTTTCATGCTCACAGTTTTTTCAAATTTTCCCAACATTTGTTTTTACCGCACTGAATGAGCGAATGGCGAAATACATTTGGGACTGTTTGTATAATTGTATGTGTCTTCTGTATGTGATGTGAAGTGAACTGTGAACGCCGGATACGCGTTCCACGCCGACACATGAAAGCATTGTAAATTGCTCTGTGTACAAGTGCGCACTTAAAGTTTGAAAGCGCACAGTCAAGGCTAATAAAGCTACAACCGGAAGCTTGAAAATTTGGTTGGCTGCACTCAAGCCAACCAACTTGTACGTGTGTATGGCCATTGGTGTGTACTTAACTAATGAAGCATTGGTGTAATGATTAAACTAACGCACGGCGAAAGTTGCTCGCAAAACAAAAGTGTACATGTATGCTTTCGGACAACTTGAGTTCTCATTGCTCCTCTAATAGATAGATTCACTTACATAACTTAACTTTTACACATAAAGAAGAAGTCAAAAAGTAGCAAAAAATGTTGCTTTTATATATGTAATTTCCGTTCAAAGAGTCAACGAAAAATTGGGTCAAATTTGAAATTTACTTTGTATGCTTTTTGTTAATTGAAATCTTAAAAATTTAACCTCACATTTACTGAAACATTCTGTTGAAGCCTTGAAGCCTTGAACCTAGAAAACACTACAAAAAGAAACGAAGTGTGTCTATTTTATTGCACGCTCTTAGGCACTTCAGTCACTTGTATGAAGC